AGTTCCTTTCAAATAAATCTGGATGCCACTGGCAGGAAACATGGAGCTGATCCTAATGTTTGTGGTGGTTTAAGAGGAAGAAGTATGTATACTGAAGACTTAATATGTAAGACTTAATATGTAAGAATCTAGGACTGAATGGAGGCAGGATAATTAAAACGAGATGAGCACGTTTATCTGACCAAGTCAGTACAGGCAGTTGAGCCATGAAACAGGGATTGACCTGTAATTGTCTATTCTGTCAACTTCTGGATGCAGTATATCCTAACCAGACAGGTTTCACTCTCCACAGAGGGGATAAGGGCTCACAGGACAGCTGAGAGGGTGGCTCGTGGACACAGCAGGTCCAGGACAGAGCAGGCAGGCCAGGGCCGCACACGGAGGAGGGTCCTCCGGCCATGCTGGGCACCGTTGTGTCCTCCGAGGAATGACTGCCCTGGCCAAGCACCTGACTTCGGCGACATGTAGGGAGTGGATACATGGACAGTCCCAAGGCTGGCCTTGTCATCAGGAGGAGGTGCTGGGTAAGAGGGACACATATCCAGAGTGACTGCTGCAGCACTCATGCTACCTCTGCACTTGCTGCTTGCTTGCTTTCTTTGTTCACTGACATTGTAGCTTTACTGTTTCTGTTCTCTTCTCATAGAACAAAAAATCATTGTATTGTTCTCCCTTCAACATCAGAGATCACTTTAAAAAAAATTAATTAATTGGGGGATAATTTATTTATAGTATTGTGGTGGTTTCTGCCACACATCGACATGAATCACCCACAGATACACATGTGTCCCCCCATCCTGAATCCCCCTCCCACCTTCCTCCCCATCCCATCCCTCTGGGTCGTCCCAGAGGACCGACTTTGAGTGCCCTGCTTCATGCACTGAACTCACACTGGCCATCTATTGCACATATGGTAATATACATGTTTCAATGCTATTCTCTCAAATCATCCCACCCTCCCCTTCTCCCACAGAGTCCAAAAGCTTGTTCTTTACATCTCTGTCTCTTTTGCTGTCTTGCATATAGAGTTGCTGTTACCATCTTTCTAAATTCCATACATATGCATTAATATACTATATTGGTGTTTCTCTTTCTGATTTCACTCTGTGTAATAGGCTCCAGTTTTGTCCATAGAGGTCACTTTTTTTAAAAAAAAATTTATTTGTTAATTGTGTTGGGTCTCAGTTGCAGCGCTCAGGCTTAGCTGCCCCGTGGCACGTGGGATCTTAGTTCCCGTGCCGGGGTGGACCCTGCGTCCCCTGCACTGGAAGGAGGCTTCTCAACCACTGGACTGCCAGGGAAGGCCCTAGATGTCACTTTTAAGCCAGTTTAACACTCAGATGAATGGCTTTCCCAGCTGCTCCAGAGCTGGTGGCCAGGGCCCAACGCTGGGGACAATGGAGTGCCCAGGAGGTCGCATCTCAGACAGAGCCCGCTCAGGGGCACCGCTGTCTGCTAGGTCAGCCCTGGGCACACACCTCCTCTGGCCTGAGACTGGTGTGTGGGTGATGCTGAGTCTGGCAGAAGGAATCTTGACGTCACAGGGAGCAAACAGTCACGCATGAGGGCCCCTTGCTCAGAGAGGGAGGGCTCAGAGAGTTCAGTCCTAAGTCCTGGAGTCTTCAGTCCTGAGGATGCCGGCGGTGAGTGAGGGAATGGAGACGAGCACATACTCAGGAGTCAGACCTGCTGATCTGACGAGGAGCAAGGCCCTGAACACAGAGGAAGAGGGCGACAGGCCTGGTGAGGACACACCTGTCCGCCCCCACAGGCCCTCTTGGGGGCGGAGGCGGCAGGAGACAAGCCGGCTCTGCTGTGATGTCTCACCTGCTTTATGAGGTTATAGCGGTCTTCCCTAGACCTGAGCAGACACTTGCAATCACACAGCACGTTATTTCTCCACGTCTCAGTATTTCCAAGCCATGCTCCCCTGTCACATGTCTTCCTGTCCAGGGCTGAGCAGTGTCTCACACAGGAAGACACTGCTATTTGCTGCTCACTCACTGCTCAGGGTGGCCAGCCTGCAATGACCCTGACGCTGTAGGGCAGGTGGACATGGTCAACAGGATGAGGGGAGTGGTGGTGGCCCCACTGAGACGGGTTATAACATCCTGGCTGCTCTCTCCCCTCCCTGGATTGCTTGCCTAAGGGGGAGCCAGCCCCACATACTGAGCCACCCCATAGAGGAGCCCAAATGGAGCAGAGCCCAGGGCCATGGGAGTAACTCTGGGAGGAAGCCCTGTGGCCCCAGCCACGAGCCAGGTAAGTGCAGGCCTGGCCAAGAGCTGGACTGCGCGCTCATGGGGGTGCCGGGTGAGAACGGCCAGCCTGGGCCGGTATCCTGGGCCTGTGTGGCGGCTGTCAGAGCCCTCAGTTCTGCCTGATGAAGCCACAAGTTGGAGGAGCACCGTGAAGCTGGCCCATGTGTCACAGCAGCTCCCTGGGACGGGCCACCTGGTAACCAGGGGGCGGGCACAACGTGGTGACAGATGGTTACTTAATGCATGACTCACCGAATTCAGATGCTTTTCCATGCTGGACCTACTGAAAATACTTGGGGCAACAGTAAAGTACCTCTTTTCCATTGAGAACTTCAAGAGATCAGGGAAATTAAGCGGCCTTGTAATGCTTGACAAGTGAAACACACACACCACAACAGAAAACTAAGGATGCTTACGGAAATACCCGACTGAAGAGGACAGGGTCTCCAACTTCTGAAAGGACCCTGTGGGTGACCTGGGGAGGGGGGGCGGGATGCAAGGAAGGAGAGTGAAAACCACTGAAAAGACTGCAGGGAGAGAAGGTGATGTTTGGCCTGGGAGAGCCCGAGCAGGCTTGGCATCAGCTCGCTTCCCGCGGGGGAGACACCTTTCTGCAGGACACGCACTGGGATACCTCAGCTTACCACGCAGCTGTGCGGGACACACTGCTTGTCTGGAGATCTTGGTTCTCTCTGGAGACACTAACTATCTCCACTAGCTGTCCCCTGATAAAATGGGTAGGTGGGTGTGGCAGGGGTGAATAACATATAAATATACAGATACAGGGCAGCTCACTTGAGTTTTCTGCAGTCACTGCAGAAGTACAGGCATGCTATCTACCACCCCTTAGACTCCTCAGTCAGCAGAGCAGGCTCATTCATTTGAAATTCTTCTACTGAGTGTAACAGAAACTGATCATTTGTTCAGAAAATATGACATAAGGACCAATTATAATCAATCATGGCTCTTAAAATGAGACAGAATGAGCAAGGTGGGACTGAGTGACAAAGCGATATTTTCTTCGCTCAGTTTCCTGCTGTACTATGAAAGAAGTCTTTTTGGTCAGATGAAGTGATATGAAAATGCTTATGCGTCAGAATTCTTAGAAATGCTGAATAAAATAGGTGACCCTTCCACAAAGGGGAAGCCTTCCTGATCCCGTGTCACCAGCACCCAGAGGAGGATGGAAGTTCACGGTGACTCCGTCTCTTAAAGGGATGATGATCCGGGGTCCCAGTGCTTAAGTGGGTATTACCTACATAAAAGTGAGAGTTGCTCAGTCATGTCCGACTCTTCGCAACTCCACGCTCTATACAGTCTCTAGACCAGAATACGAGAGTGGGTAGCCTTTCCCTTTCCTAGGGGATCTTTCCAACCCAGGGATTGAACCCAGATCTCCCGCGTTACAGGCAGATTCTTTATAAGCTGAGCCATAGGTATTACCTACGTAAGCGGCAAATATTTTTGTTCATGAGCACTGGGTTGTTTTTGCTGGTCACCCTTCCATCTTGTAGAAGGGGACATCTTTTGTGTTTTCTCAGCAAAATCAGTCACACAAATAAAGTCTATTGATAAGCAATTTTAATGTCTACAAATAGAGAAAATTTCCTTGTTGTGTAAATACTGATTTCTGCTAATTCGAATGTTAAATATTATGCTATCAACTGACGACTGATCCTCGAGAAGTAGAAAAGAAGAAATCCCTTAACTTGACAAACTCTTCTCTGCTCCGATCACTTCAGGCAGAAGAGCAACCGTGGGCAGGCAAGCGCACACGAAGAGTGATGGGGCAGCAGGGGGGGAGTGAGCAGGTGGAGCGGGCCCTGCCAGCGGTGCAGGACTGGCCCCTGAAGCGGAGGCAGCACAGATAAAGAGGACTCGGACTTCAACAGTCAGCTTTCTCCTTACTTTCAAAGGGGAAAACATCCCCCCCCCCCCCCCACCCCAGCTTTAAAGTCGTGGCAAAGTATACGTAAAATTTACCATTTTAACCCTGTTTAAAGCAGTGTATAGTTATGTCTGTTAAGTATATTTATATTGTTGTGCAACCATCATCAAAGAGGAGATTTCCAGTTTTTATTTTCACAAGTAAAGGGGCTCACAAAGTATCCAGCATTAAATTTGGGAAAGGTTTTGGGTGGAAGAGAAAAGGGCAAAACGTTTCTCTCACTGTCAGAGTCCTGAAGAACAGGAAATCAGCTAAATGAAAATATACTTGGTGCCTTCTATAGAGGGTATCTGATGGGACACAAAAAACAAACCTCGCCAGTCAGTGGTATAAGCGCAACTGCTCCACTTCACCGCCGCCTGCCCTGACATGTGGCCTCTGGACCTGGAGGCACGTCTCAGAACTCTGACAACTCTGAAGATACCCCACAGTGCTTGCCAAGGCCATACAGCGGCCAGTGCTGTGGACCCCCAGGGCCTGACCCAGAGAGATGTGCAGAAATGAATAAAAACCACCACCAACCAAAAACACCCTTTTCAATTCAAGTGGGCAGAACTGCATTAATTTCCCCCAGCCGCTGCAAAAGTTAAGAAACATTCTTAAGATGTGTGACACCTCCTCAATCAGTCCTCTTACCAAGAAGGCTCTGTGCTTCCTGGACGGAGCCAGAGGCTTGAAGGCTGAGGTCTCTGCTGGGGAAGATGAACTGGACATGGGTCAGACATCTGACCTGTGTGCACAGCTGGCAAGGATGCGGGCAGCCCCCACCCCCTGCCCCCCATCAGTCATACCTGCTGCTTTAGCTGCTGTACCAGCCGATCCTTCTCCCGCTTCAGGGCGGCCACTTCCTCCTGAGTCTTCTTCTTTGAGGACGACAGTTCCAGGAGAGCTATGTTGGCATCTTTTTCACTGATGGCAGCCAGAAGGGCTTCCTGCCTGCATGAGAGAGAATGCGCCCAGACTTCAGCCCTCACGGCCATCCTCTTGGGTAACTACCATCATCACCCCATTTATGGGGGTAGAAGCTAGGTCTCAGAGTACACAGCTGCTCAAATTCACACCTGAGTTTGGGGTCTGGGCAGGAATCCCATTCAGGTCCTCTTGACTCTAAACGTTTTTATCGGATCGTTACACTGACATCTGAATAAAGAGTTCCTTAGATCCAGTTGTAGTTAAACTTGGAAAAGTATACAAAATTAATGACTTTTTTTTTTTCCAGGTAAGAGCTATCCTGTCATTTACACGTTTTACTGATTTGACTCATCTTTTTGATAAGTATACTGTGGCTTCCAGAGAAACCACGTACCACTAAAACTGAACACATTTTTATGTACAGAATGTATAACAAACTGCAAACATTAGTAAACAGGATTTAGGAAACCAGTCAGCTGTTCCTGGGGCATCTATGGATCTCTTTATCTCATCAATACAAAGAAGTTTCCAGTCAGAGCTGTATTTTTCATACTGTTCATGGTGTTCTCAAGGCAAGAACACTGGTTTGTCATTTCCCAATTTCAAAACTGGGAAATCAGTACATCAAGGCTGTATACTGTTACCCTGCTTATTTAACTTCTGTGCAGAGTACATCATGTGAAATGCTGGGCTGGATCAATCACAAGCTGGAATCAAGACTGCTGGGAAAAATACCAACAACCTCTGATATGCAGATGATACTACCCTTATGAAAGAAAGCAAAGAAGAACTGAAGAGTCTCTTGATGAAGGTGAAAGAGGAGAGTGAAAAAGCTGGCTTAAAACTCAATATTCAAAAAATGAAGATTATGGCATCTGATCCCATCACTTCATGGCATATAGATGGGGAAACAATAGAAACAGTGACAGATTTTACGTTCTTGGGCTCCAAAAATCACTGTAGATGGTGACTGCAGCCATGAAATTAAAAGATGCTTGCTCCTTGGAAAGAAAGCTATGACAAACCTAGACAGCATATTAAAGAGCAGAGACATCACTTTGCCAACAAAGGTCCATCTAGTCAAAACTATAGTTTTTTCAGTAGGCAGTTACAGATGTGACAGTTGGACCATAAAGAAGGCTGAGCGCCAAAGAACTGATGCTTTTGAGCTGTGGTGCTGGAGAAGACCCTTGGGAGTCCCTTGGACAGCAAGGAGATCAAACTAGTCAATCCTAAAGGAAATCAACTCTGAACATTCACTGGAAGGACTGATACTGAAGCTCCAATACTTTGGTTTCCTCATGCAAAGAGCCGATTCATTGAAAAAGACCACATGCTGGGAAAGACTGAGGGCAGGAGGAGAAGGGTACGACAGAGGATGAGATGGTTGGATCGCATCATCGACTCAATGGACATGAGTCTGAGCAAACTCCGGGAGATAGTGAAGGACAGGGAAGCCTGGTGTGCTGCAGTCCATGGTGGTCGCAAAAAGATACGACTTAGTGATTGAACAACAGCGGGGCTTTATTTGGCAATGATCTGCACACTTTGAAACAACAATTTAAACTCTACTGATTCCATGTGGTTTAGCTAACAACTATTTTTGGTTCATATCCAGAAGGAAAAGAAGGTGGGATTTTAGGGTGGGGCTGGGATGGTGAACTAAGACATTTACAAAATAATCAGAAGGAAGCTGGTGAACAATTAGTCTCATAGTCCAGATGAATTCCTCTGGAGCTCATCTTTTATGGAACAAGTCATCTGGAAGAAGACAGCTTTGATTTACAGGAACTATGTAAGTGGCCTGAGCTTTTGACCCGAGGAAGTGCTGAATCTGAGAAGGCACTGCCCAAGTTTAACCTTGCTTCTGTCTCTTGTTAAGATAATTAGGCTTCAATAGCAGTCATATGGAAGAGTTTTAGTTCAGCCACAAACTGGAAGGCTCTCTTTTGAATGCTCTGACAAGGATATTCCGTATTTGGATGGGGAGGTATGGGGAACTCTGAACAAGCGGTCCTAACAAATGGAAGATGTAGGTCAGTTTACGTCACGGAAATGAAGATTTGTTTAATGAGTCTTTGCCATTGGAAGGGAAGATTCACTGACCCCAGGATAACTTTCCACTGTCCCTACTTTCTGTGACTCTAAGAAATGGCAGATGGCTTATCCCATGAAGCTCTAGTCGACACCAAAGGGATAACGACAGTCTAAATATATCCACTGACCACTTGAAAAAAGTATGTTAAGTGGTGAAATGAGCTTAAAGGTGAAGGAGTTCAAGATGGTCTCGCTCTGCGGTTTCCTGCTGATTGCTGTCATCTGTTCCCTTTCGGGGAGCGCGGAGACTGACAAGCTGGAATGAGAAATGCACTTTTTCAAGAAGGGGGCTGCGTTTCTGTGCATCCAAGTCAGAATCACACATTTAGCAACAGGCAAGTAACAGAAGACGAGTGAAAGAGAAATTATTCTGTCCAGTTAGACCAAGTCATGAGAATGCTTGCTGAATGCCAGACAAAAGGCCATGGGATCTGAGTTCCATTCTGTGCTTAAGGAAAGAAGCATGACAATATGAATACTAATAAGCAGGCTATGTTGTTGAAGCATCTTTACTGAATTCAAGCATCTTGACTCTTATAAACGATATGCTTGGCCAGCTAATGTGGTAGAGTTATTCTCTGGGGTAAAATGTCACATTCTCCAAATGCAATATAACAGATGACAACTCAGACTCTAAATTTTAAAATAAAGGATGTGGCATTGGCGTCTGGGCCATTGGAATGGTGCCTCCTTAATAAGATACATGTTTTGTAGACTTTTTCCTTTTTCTATACGATTCAAATAGAAATTTTATGTCATGGATGCTATTTATTTCTTATTGAGTGTTCATTATATAGCTCATTGATAATATGCTATGAACTACACAGAATCAAAATTTCTCCCCCAATACCCAAGGCTCTCACCCTCTAAAAATTCTCTAGCAGATTAACATACCACTGTCCTTTCCATTTTAAAAGTACACTCTTGATATTGATTTCTTACATGTGTATGTGCCTAAAAAGGGCAATTCAAGGTCAAGAGAATAAAAGGTTTTGATCACACATTGTACATATGATGATGTTAACTCGGTGATGTCAGTATCTTTTGTGGGTTTATTAGTTTTTGGGTTTTTCTCTAGCTTTTGGAAGAGGACAGAGATAGTATCAGTCTATCTAAATTTTGGTAAATTTGCAATAGACACCACAGGGGAGAACAACTTCTTGAGAATAATTTGGGGGATGGGCACAAAAAGTAAAGGTGATAAACCATAATTCATCTAACTTTTGGGGAATAAGAAAAAGTCTTGTTCCCTCAGTACAAGTGATAGTAAAGACAATATCAGTAGGTAAACTTACATGGCTAAGCTTTACAGGGAGCATTCAAGTGTCTAAATTAAAATTTTAAGAATACCCTGCATTTCAGAGGAATGGAATTTAGACTGAAAAAAAAAAGACAAACAGCAAAAAATTTTATTTTAGTAGCCATCTATTCTTAATACTGGAGTAGGAAATGGCAACCCACTCCAGTATTCTTCCTTAGAGAATCCTGTGGACAGAGGAACCTGGTGGGCTGCCGTCTATGGTGTTGCACAGAGTCAGACATGACTGAAGTGACTTAGCATGCATGCATGTATTCTTAATATAACTGCTTCTTTGAAAAACAAGATACTTTCTGACAACGAAGTCACATCCATTCATTGGAGAAAAACGGAAAGGTACAGAACAGTATGAAGATGAAAAAAATAACTTAAACAGTTCCTTTCTAATCAGAGTCAATGACTTGTGATCTGAAGGTCAGCTATTCTAATACTACTAAGGCTTATTTCAGAGAAAATGAGGCTTGGTGGGGACGGATAATTGACCTCAGCAGCTTTGCTAACTGAAGGCTCTCTACAGAAAAGAGCACTTGCTGGTAGGACACCTTCCGACTTCAGCCCCCATAAGCCCACAGGAGTAACACATAAAACAGAAAAGGGAACGTACACAGGCCACAGAGAAAACAGGAACCAAAACGCTCTTCCACTCAAATTACTCCCCTTGTTCTGTGAGTGGCTTTTCCTCAGTTATAAAGCAAAAACTGAAAAATGTGCACACGAAACCCTTCAAGGCGATTAGTGACCTCCCACTGCATGACCAACAGGCCACCTGACCTGCATAATGAGGAGGCAGTAACAGAAATCCAACTTTAAGTCATTAGTCTGGTCACTCCATCCCCGGGGCTTTAACTACCCGAACAGCTGAACCTGCCCTTTGACCTGTGAATGCTAACAGAATCAATACGTCTCAACAAGTTCAGCTGTGGCAACTCAGCTTCAAGAAATGGTAAGACCACCTCCTCTGTCCCCTCCTTCTTCTAGCAGATTTCATAAGCAAAAGGCAAAAGTCCACGGCAAGTGAGGCTCAAAATCCTCCGGTGATTCCTGAACCTTTGAGGATGACCCATGAGCCCTCTCTCACTAGTGACTAAGAGAAATAACTGCAGTGTTGGAATGACGGTGACTAGTAAGTTAAGGGTCCTAGATAAGCCTGTGGGTTTAACAGAAACACAAGACAGAAACGGAGTAAGAATGAAGGCATGTTAGAAGGGTTTATTTTTCCCTCTTCCTCCAACTGGGTATTTCAAATGGCCTGATTACATCATCATGTTTCATAAATTCCATAATCCAGAAAACCTCCGGAGAGCGAGCAGATGAAGCAACGATGAGATTGGTGGCTCTGGATGGACCTCTGTCAAGGATGTGCAGGCAGAGTCTAAATCTACCCCAATGTTAAGGTAAATCTGAAGTCCTGGTTCTCTCACAAAGGCCCCCTTGACTCGAATTTAACCAATTAACCATCCAGAGTGAAATCCTTCGCTCTTCATTTCACTTGATGAGCAGGTCCCCTTCAGGGCTTGCTTCCTCCGGCCTCCCTTGACGGAAGTCTTGGGGGAGCAAGGTGGACACACCACCTGCGAAAGCTCAGTGAGTCTGACTGTCGGCGGGCCTG